CTTGCTAAACTTACAGGAACTTTTTTTGGTATACTTCATGAGATTTCTACACAGTCCTGCCATCTGCCAAAAGAAATAATTTTCTTACTTCCACTCTAGTCTGTATGCTTTTCCCCCTTGCCTGACTGCACTGGTTAGGTCTTCTAGCATCATGTTGAATAGAAGTGCTGAACATTCCATTTTTTACCATTGAGCCCAGGAGTTAGCCGTGGGCTTTCTGTAGACATTTTTTATCAGGTTGAGGAAGTTCCCTTTATTCCTAGTTTTCTGAGTGATTTTATCAAGAACTAATGTTGAATTTTGTCAATTTCTGTATCAATTTATATGATCATATGGTTTTTCTCTTAATATGGTGGACTGCACTGATTTTCTTTTTTTGGAGACAAAGTCTAGCTCTGTCACCCAGGCTGGAGTGCAATGGTGCCATCTCAGCTCACTGCAACCTCTGCCTCTCGGGTTCAAGACATTCTCCTGCCTCAGCCTCCTGAGTAGCTGGGATTACAAGCACCTGCCACCATACCCAGCTAATTTTTGTATTTTTAGTAGAGAAGGGATTTCACTGTGTTGGCAAGGCTGGTCTCAAACTCCTGACTTCGTAATCCACCCGCCTTGGCCTCCCAAAGTGCTGGGATTACAAGTGTGATCCACCAAGCCTGGCCCACTGATTGATTTTCAAATACTGAATTGGCCTTGCATTCCTGGACTTTGGTTTCCTCACTCTATCACACACTAACTACATCTGCATCCATGGCCAAGCAGCAGGACAGAGACAGTGGAAGAAGGCAATGGAATTTGTTCCATGTTCTAGGGGTGAAAGAACTTTGGTGAAAGCTCTTTTGGTGAAAGAAAGAGTTCTCTTCCTTCAGTTTTAGATGCCTGCCATGTTGCCACTGACATTGCTATGCCACTGCTGCCACCATGGGTAGTACTGCCTAGGGGCCAGGGCAGGAAAGAAGGGGAAAAAAGGGAAAAACGGATTTCTTTTACCATCTCTGACCCTTAAGAGATCCTTCCTTGTAGCCAGGCGCAGTAGTTCATGCCTGTAATCCCAGCACTTTGGAAGACCAAGGTGAGTGGATCACGAGGTCAGGGGATCGAGACCATCCTGGCCAACATAGTGAAACCCTGTCTCTACTAAAATACAAAACATTAGCTGGGCGTGGTGGCGCGCACCTGTAATCCCAGATAATCAGGAGGCTGAGGCAGGGGAATCACTTGAACCCAGGAGGCAGAGGCTGCAGTAAGCTGAGATCGCACCACTGCACTCCACCCTGGCGACAGTCCAAGACTCCATTTCAAACAAAAGAGATCCTTCCTTGTTCCTCGGACCAGAAAGAGAAAGCTCTCTTGGTGTTCTTTCTGGTCACACCTGGAGTGAACTTCCCTTTGAATCTGGGCTGGGTGACACCAGAGAAGGAAAAAACGGTAAACTATTCATCACTAGTATGGTGGAACTTCAAATTCTAGTCTCCTTCCCTATATGCCTATTTCCAGATAGAATCCTCAGATAGCTGCTCCATGCATTCTGCCTAAGACTTATAATTACATTAAAAAGGAGAGACAGAAGAGAGTATGTTTACTCTATGTTCCCCAGAATTGGAACACATATCCTTCTATATATAATGTGTGAAACAAGAAAGGAAATATGAATACTTTCAAACTGAAATGTAGAAGTCTGCTTCAAAGGTTGTGCTATGAGCTTATCTTTTAAAACTATGCATTAACTTCCTGTGGGGGAAAAAATTTAAAAAGATGAATCACTGCTTTTTCACTTGGCAGTTATCAGAAATACATATATATATATATATATATATATATATATATATATATATATTTTTTTTTTTTTTAAGACAGAGTTTCACTCTGTCACCAGGCCCCAGGCTGGAGTGCAGTGGCGCGACCTCAGATCACTACAACCTCCGCCTCCCAGGTTCAAGCAATTCTCCTGCCTCAGCCTCCCAAGTAGCTGGGACTACAGACGCATGCCACTATACCCAGCTAATTTTTTTGTATTTTTAGTAGAGATGGGGTTTCACCATGTTGGCCAGGATCGTCTCAATCTCTTGACCTTATGGTCCGCCCGCCTCGGGCTCCCAACGTGCTGGGATTACAGGCGTGAGCCATCGCGCCCAGCCGTATAGTTTTTCTTACGTATCTGTTAAGGTTTTTAGAGTACAAGCAGTATCAATGGTCTGTGGCTAAGTTAGTAAAAGGCAAATTCCAAGCACAGATTTTCTTTTTTTTTGAGACGGAGTTTCACTCTTGTTACCCAGGCTGGAGTGCAATGGCGCGATCTTGGCTCACTGCAACCTCGGCCTCCTGGGTTCAAACAATTCTCCTGCCTCAGCCTCCCGAGTAGCTGGGACTACAGGTGTGCGCCACCATGCCCAGCTAACTTCTGTATTTTTAGTAGAGAAGGGGTTTCACCATTTTGACCAGGATGGTCTCGATCTCTTGACCTCGTGATCCACCCATCTCAGCCTCCCAAAGTGCTGGGATTATATAGGCATGAGCCACCGCGCCCGGCCCTAAGCACAGATTTTCAAAATAGGTGAGGTAGGTTTGTTTGGAAGAAATGCCAGAAAGCACATGTATTAATAGAGGAGGAGAAGACAAAACACACAGAACTTAAGAGTAAAGAAGCAGATACAAAAGGGAGCAAAGTTGTTCTGGGAAGCAGCAATGTTTAAAAAGCCTCAACAAATATTTTTGTTTCAAAAAGTAAAGTTCTAAGAGAGTATATCTGATAAAAAAAAAAAAGCACCACAAATGGGGTAAGGCCCCCAAAGAACATCAAGCTGCTGTTGCCAAAGGGGAGAATGTTGCACAGTAAAAAGCAACAAATAAATCCTTCGAGAACATGCTACACATGTTGCTATCCCTTGTTCACCAAAGAAACGTAACTGATGACTCTCTCTCCTTCAGTTATGAAAAGAAAACAAACAGAGTTTTGATATAATTAACAGCTTACAGAAGCAGGTCTCAAATTTTTTGGTCTCAGGATTCTTTTATATTACTCTTAAAATGTTGATGAAGACCCACAAAAAGCTTTCTGTTTATGTAGGTTACATCTGTTGATATTCACTATACTAGAAACAGAAAATTTTAAACATTAATTCATTAAAAAATAACTCATTATAGGGTAACATAAAACACCCTTATAAAAAATTACTGCATTTTCTAAGACAAAAGTTTAATGAGAAGGGTGGCATTGTTTTTCATTTTATAAATCTCTTTACTATCTGGTTTAATATAGAAGAGTTGGATTCTCATAACTCCTTCTGTATTCAGTCTGTTGTGATGTGCTGCTTTGGTTGAGGTGAACTGTTTTTTTAGACAGTTTTGCTCTGTTGCCCAGGTTGGAGTGGTGTGATCTCAACTCACTGCAGCCTCCCTGCCTCCTGGGTTCAAGTGATTCTCATGCCTCAGCCTCCCGAGTAGCTGGGATTACAGGCGTGTGCCACCACAATGAGGTAATGTTTGTATTTTCAGTAGAGACAGGGTTTTACAATGTTGGCCAGGCTGGTCTCAAACTCCTGACCTCAAGTGATCCGCCCGTCTCAGCCTCCCAAAGTGCTGAAATTACAGTCATGAGCCACTGTGCCCGGCCCTTGGTTGAGGTATTTTTAAAAACCTGGCTTTATACACATACAAAGTTAAAAATGGAAGAGTATTTTAATAGCTTTTTCAGAAAACTGTGGCAATTCTTCTTTGATTCTACACAAAACTTTAATAAGCAAACTTTCCTTAATCTATCACATTAAAATCCATCAGTCTATCTTATAGTTTAAATGCATCTTTCATCTACGGATGGTTTCGTAACATCATGCATTGGTCATCTGGAAAACACTGGTTCACTGAGTTACGCAGATCTTCAAATGTTGGCACATTCATTAAAAAAAAAAATTCCATCATTGTTGAGGCTAAAAAAAATAAGAAAAAAAAAATATATATATATATATTTTTGAGACGGAGTCTCACTCTGTCACCCAGGCTGGAGTGCAGTAGCGCCATCTCGGCTCACCTTTGCTTCCTAGGTTCAAGCGATTCTCCTGCCTCAGCCTCCTGAGTAGCTGGGATTACAGGCGCCGGCCACCACACCTGGCTAATTTTTTTTGTATTTTTAGTAGAGATGAGATTTCACCATGTTGGCCAAGCTGGTCTTGAACTCCTGACCTCAGGTGAGCCACCTGCTCCGCCTCCCAAAGTGCTGGGATTACAAGCATGAGCCACCATGCCCAGCCTAAAAATATTTTTAAAATGTCAATTGTTAATATTACCAATCTTCAGAAAAGACTAAGTATTGGGAAGCTATCAAGCACATGAATACAAGTTATCCAAAATTCTATTTTTCCCTGGAAAGCTTAAATTTTACCATTGGCAACAAATACTGTCACTTGTTTTATGTAATAGGTTTGCTTTACTTATTCTCAAGAAAATGGCTGCCAAATACCCAAGTGTGAACAACTATGGTTTGTCAGTTGTTCTTTCAGGTAAAATAGTATTCCATAAAAAAAGCAGCTAGTTCAACATGCAACTCTAACAACAACACAAGTGCTTTTCCTGGTAACCATCATGTTTTGGTATGTAGCAGAAACATTTTAGGTATACTTCCTCTTTTTTTTTTTTCTTTTTTTGATACAGGGTCTCACTGTGTTGTTGAGTACAATGGTGTGTTATCAGCCTACGGCAACCTCCACCTCTCCCGGGCTTGGGCAATCCTTCTGCCACAGCCTCCCAAGTAGCTGGGACCACAGGTGTGCACCACCACACACAGCTAATTTTTTGTATTTTTGTAGAGACAGGGTTTTACTATGTTACCAGGCTGGTCTGGAACTCCTAGGCTCAAGCAATCTGCTCGCATCAGCCTCCCAAAGTGCTGTGATTACAGGCATGAGCTACTGCACCTGCCCATACTGAAAAGATGTTTACTCATGACTCTAGAGTTAATAAAATTCATACAGTTTTTGCTGCTTTACCAAAGACATTCTTTCTTTTTTAATTTTACTTTTTTAACGGGAGTTCTGTGCTTTTAAACAATTGTTAACATTCTTAATTAAAATCAGTAGTTTTTTAAAAAAAGTTACGGCAGTCAAAAAATACAATGAATACTGGTACAGTTACTACCATCATGATCACGCTGAGGAATCACTCATTTTACCCATGTCTGCTTTTGCACCATCAATGCGAATGTCAATGCATTGAAAAAGTCAAAGAATGTTTCGGTTTTGCTTATGAAAACAGTTTTGACCTCATGGCCTCCCTGAAAGGGTCCCGGAGACCTCCAGAGATCCCTAGACCATGCGCTGAGAGTTCTAATTTAACAAATAACTTACTTGATAAACTTTATGAAAGATTTAATATACTTTTAAATAAATTGTTTTGGTACTTTACAAAGCTTAAATGCATCAAAAAGGCTTATTGAACCTAGGCATCTGTGGGATTTTCCCAATGATTACCATTAATAGATTCTATGACTCTAAATGAGAAACCTTTAAAAAGTAAATTGAAGAGACAGACGAAATAATAATAACTAGGAGATCAAGGTAACTGTGGCTGCCAACCTCAAAGGCAGTCCCCAATGCTCCTCACCTACTGTGGAGTCCCAGTCACACACTCTACCAGAGTGAATTTCGTTTCTATGACCAATAGCATATAGCGGAAGTGATAATGTGCCATTTCCAATATTACACTGTAAAAGAATGAGGCTTTTGCCTGAGTTCTTGCTCTCTTGCATGACTTGCTCTAGGAGAAGAAAGCTGCCATGCTGCAAGCAGCCTTATCTGTGCACAGGCCAGGAGCTGAAGTATCCAGCCAACAGGCAGTAAGGGAGTGAGTCTTGTTAACAACTATATGAATATGGAAGCAGTTGCCTTGAAATGACTGCAAGCCTAGCTGACAGCTTGACTGTAACCTTATGAGAAACCCTGAGCCAGAACTACTCAGTTAAACCACTAACAGACTCCTGATCCTTGGAAACTGAGAGATAATATTAACTGTTTTGAGCTGCTTAGTCTTCGAGTCATTTGTTTCACTTCAGTAACAATAAACATAAGGTACCTGGTGAAGACTGGAAAAGCAGAACAGAGTCAAAGTAAGAAAATGGCTGACTAAAAGAACTTAGATTTTTCTAATAGACTTTTCCTAATAAACCACCCAAATAAGGAGATCTACGAGCTTAAATAATAATAAAATAATAAATACGCAGCTGGAAGATGAAAGCCCACAAAGACTCTTCCAGAAGAGGGGTCAGACGGCACATCTACAGCCCTTGTGTTCTAAAGGAGTTGCTACAAGTTGAGCATCCTAAATCTGAAAATCCAAAATCTAGAAGCCTCCAATGAGCATTTCCTTTGACCACCATGTTGGCACTCAGAAAGTTTCAGGTTTGGGGGCGTTTGGGATTTCAGATTTTTGGATGTGAATTATATTTGCTCAACCTAAATTTAATGCAAATATTCCAAAATTTGAAAAAAAAAAAAAAATCTGAAATCCAAAATGCTTCTGGTCCCAAGCATTTTGGATGAGGGATATTCAATCTGTACTTAATAGCAGTTAAATGAATTACTCTCAACTGGTACCCATTCAAAAGATCTTTAACTGTCTTTAAAGTAGGTATGAATTTCTCCTCCCTTGACAATGCCTTTTCTGGCAATATGCCCCCTCCAACCTAACCCTAATTTGGAAATGACTAATATTTAAGCATTTTTTACAAGACCAAAAGTAGTGTCTGCCCAAGGTCCTTAATTGAATAAATAAAATATCTGCACCTCATGCACACTAGTTGTATTTTAATAGGGAACCCAAATACCTTATACACAGCCAAGAGACAGAAGGTTTTCCTTGCTTAGTAAGGTTGTCTCTTTCTACCCCACCCCACTTTTGGGGGCCCATCTTTTTGGGGGTGCTCTTTTCATTTCTTAACTATTTCCCTATTTTCCACAACCAGGGCAATGGTGAGCTGATATTTTCCATCTTCTTCTCTGCATCTGCTTCCAAATCCCCAGCCTTGGTTTTGGGGGAAGAAAAATCTTCTTCTGACTGGTTCCCACAGCCACTTCTGTGTTTTAAATTAAGATAAGTTCTACTGTTTGAAGCTACTTGAGCCACAACACAGTGACCATCCCCCCAAATTCCTAGACACTCCACTAGCTTTTTTCTTGAATTCAAGAACACTGCCGGTGCCAGCCTTCTATCATTCTTCTACCATTACTATTTTGCTATCTGGCTCATTATCCCAGCACCTCTGATTCTAATCTATCTGCTCAAAAGAGGTGTTCTATAAGCCCCTCTTTCTGCAGACAGAAAGAACTCAAAGTCAGTACCACATTTCCCAAGGCTCCAGCTTATCTCCTTGGTTTCATATAAACAAGGGTGATCAAACTCTAGGCCAGAGTTACTTAGAGCCCTTGTGGAGCGCTCCGGAATGGTGCAATAACCTCCAAATTGTCAGTGCTTCAATGCCAAGGCCACAAGAAAGACCACCCAAAATTACAAAAACTGAGCACCTGCCATTACTTCTCAAGCCTTGGGTAGGAAAGGGGGCACGTGAAGAGATAACATCTCGTGTGTGTGTGTGTGTGTGTGTGTGTGCGCGCGCGCGCACTCAACCCTGGGTACGAAAAGGGGCACGTGAAGAGATAACATCTCGTGTGTGTGCGCGTGCACGCGCCCACACGCGCACTTTCTTGCTTGCTCAATCTCTCTCCCCATTCCTGTTTTCCTCTACCCCACACAGGAAAGAGTAAGTGCTGTACCTTCAAAGACTTCTGATTTTTGGTAAAAGAAAAAAGAAATAAAAATAGACCCTTACAGCCTCCTTGACCAGTTTTCTACTGGATTCGACCACTGCTTCTGTCAGTGTAAATTCTGTTTTAATCATCTCCAGCACATTGATAGCGGATTCCAGTGGTGTGAGCTCAGCCTCCATATCAAAGGAACAGTCTAGGACAAAGCACAGTTTTCATTTTAAGCTCTTTTCTAAGAGCGGAAAAATTATGTCCAAAAAATATATATACTTATGGAAATGAAGCATGCAGATATAGTAAGATATGCATTTAATTTTTTGACATATTTGCTACAGGTTTACATACACAATAAGGGTCCAAATTCAAATCAATGAATTTAACATGACCATTTTTTAATACTTGTCCAAACAAGCAAAAAAATTATTTTTAAACACATGCATTTGCCTCTCAAATTCAAAATACACCCATCCTCCTCAGACAGGAGCGGCAAGAAACTGACAACAGCTAAACAGCTTTCAAGTTGAATTCAGAGAGGGAAAAATGTACTTCTACTCTGAAAAACACTACCATGGGGAAAAAGATGTCCATATGAACATAAGTCACTTTAGATAACAGCAAAGTTGGGGTGAGCAATTAACAGGTGGGAGAATATTTTTAAAAACACAGAAAAGCAGCCAAGACAACATTAACCGGAAAAAACAAAAACCAGAAAACAGACCCACTGTAGAATGGAAACGACCACTCTGATGGAAACTCGCGGACTTTAACCTGGAATCCTCCAGTTCCGAATGTAAGTTTGAAAACAAAACCCTACGCAAGTAAACCCAGAGAAGAACACAAAAATAGCCATACCTAAATTTTCCCCTTCTTCAATGCGCGACAGACACTGCATAACCCGCAGCAATCGGGACACGGTATGCTCCTTTCCCAAGGGCCTGACAAGCAAAGCTGGGAAAGAAGACATCGTTGGCTGGGCGACCCCCTGTCCCGACCCCGGTACGCCTGGGTCCACTTCCCCGGCGCTCCAACCCCCTTCCCCCGGCCCGGCCCTCACCCTGCATGATGTCCCGGATCTGTCTGAAGTCCCCGTACCGGCTACCCCGAAAGGCCCGCAGCGCCTCGTGGAAGTAGAACTTGAGCACCCAGCGATTGACTGCCTCTTCCAGCCGTGCTTCCCCTGCGCCGCGCTCCGCCGGGCCCCCCAGCCCCGGCTCGTGGCGCCCCCGCCGGGCCCGCCCGCTACTGCGGGATGCCCGCCGGCCCGCCGCTCGCCCGCTGCCGTCGCTGCTCCCGCCTCCTCCAGCCATCGCGTCCGACCGCCGCGCGCCCTCCCCGCCCTCCCGGCCGGGCCGCTTCCTCGGCTGTGACGCTGCCGGGTCACGCACTACGCCCGGGCCGGAAGCAGGGCCCGCCGTCCCGGCTCCCGCGGCCATGATAGGAACAGCGCTCAGAGCCGCCCGCGGGCTTCTGGGAGGGAAAGGACCGGAGGGCCCGGCCCCCTTCTCGGACGCCGTAGTTCCTGTTGTCCCGGCCGCAATGCCTCCTGGGGCGTGAAGTCCACGCCACCCAGACCGGTGAGCCTGGCAGGGTTTGCAGTCAACTTCGTTCTGAATTAACAGAAAACTGATGCTATGCTAGGGATATGGAACTGTGTACTAAAGATTGAAAAACAAGCCGAGTGCGATTGAAAAACACGCCTGTAATCCCAACACTTTGGGAGGCCAAGGAGGATCACTTGAGGTCGGGAGTTCAAGACCAACCAGCCTGACCAATATGGAGAAACCGTCACTACTAAAAATACAAAATAAGCCGGGCGTGGTGGCGCATACCTGTAATCCCAGCTACTCGGGAGGCTGAGGCAGGAGAATCGCTTGAACCCGGGAGGCGGAGGTTGCGGTGAGCCGAGATGGCGCCATTGCACTGTAGCCTGAACAACAAAGAAAGAAAGAAAGAAAGAAAAACAAATACGTGCACCTTATTAAGCACTTTGAAAATTGTGAAAAAGAGCACACACAGAGTCAAGTTTTTAAACAAATTTGCATTTTAACAAATACTGTAATTATAAAGCAAAGACCAGTGCAATACCAAGAAATAAAATACACCTCGCACCCCAGGAACCTCTAGGCATATTCTCTTTGTAATCACAAAAATAACGCATTTTGTTGTAGAACAATCAGAAATATAAGCAAAAGGATACCCACAATCCCATAGAGGGTCTAAGTCACTTTCAGGTATCTCTGATGCTCTTGGAATTCACCTACTGGCACTTGACCAAATGGAGAACCTCCAGTTCAGACCTTAGTTCGGGAAGGTAGTTGTGGGTGCCTCCTCCTGAGAGGCCTAATAACTGGTCTAGCTTCAAAGTTTGTCCTACCAGCCCCACTAGACTAGAACCAGCAAAGATCCAGTTTGGGGCCCCTCAAAGACAATTCAGAAGGGCAGGTGGGAGTGTCCTTGAGGATGTGAATTTCATGCTGGACCTTGGAATTAATTATACCTGGACCTTAATATGTATAGTATCCTGGTTACCCAAAAGTTCCATGTGATACACATTCCAGGATGAGAGAAGAGGCCTCTAGGTCTGACTGATCTTTGGTGATCATGGCTGCTTTTCCATTCCAGCCTGCTTGCCTTAACCAAGAGCCAAATCACCTTTATTTTAATTTTTTTTGAGACGGTTTCACTCTGTAACACAGGCTGGAGTGCAGTGGCGCAGTCATGCTCACTGAAGCCTTGAATTCATGGGCTCAAGTGATCCTCCTGTCTCAACCTCCTGAGTAGTTGATACTACCGGCCTGTGCCACCATGCCTGGGTAATTTGAAAAAATTTTTTGTAGAGTTGAGGGTCTTGCTGTGTTCCCCAGGCTGGTCTCGAATTCCTGGCCTCAAGCAGTCCTCCCACCTTGGTCTCCTAAAGTGCTGGGGATTTCAGGAGTGAGCTACTATGCCTGGTGCCAAATCACCTGCCTTTCAATTCTAACTTTTTTTTTTTTTTTTTTTTTCTGAGATAGGCTTGCTGTGTTGCCCAGGCTGGAGTGCAGTGGCATGATCTTGGCTCACTGCAACCTCCGCCTCCTGGGTTCAAGTGATTCTTCTGCCTCAGCCTCCCTAGTAGCTGGGATTACAGGCGTGTGCCGTCACACCTGGCTAATTTTTGTATTTTTAGTAGAGACAGCGTTTCACCATGTTGGCCAGGCTAGTCTCGAGCTCCTGGCCTCAAGTGACCTGCCTACCTCGTCCTCCCAAAGTGCTGGGATTACAGGCGAGAGCCACTGTGCCCGGCCTATTGTAAGTCTTCTACTTGCTAGCTGTGTAACCTTGAGCAAATCACTTCACTGTCCATGTGCCTCTGTTAACACATCTATCAAGCACAAATGATGAAGGTACCTCTTGGAAATCATATGACAAGTCAATGAATTGCTATTTACATGCCTTTAGTGAAGGGCTCAGCTTGTGGTGAGGGCTCAGTAAGTGTAAGCTGTTTTTTGTTTGTTTGTTTGTTTTTGTTTTTTTGAGACAGAGTCTCATTCTGTCCCCCAAGCTGGAGTGCAGTGGCGTGATCTCAGCTCACTGCAACCTCTGCCTCCCGGGTTCAAGCAATTTTCCTGTCTCAGCCTCCCAAGTCTCAAAAAAAAAAAACGAAAAAAAAAAATCAGTACAACCTTTCTAAAGAGCAACCCAGAAAAAAACCCATCAACAACCATAAAAATCCCATTGTTAAGAAAGTCATTGTGCAGGAATAGTCACCAATGAGCAACAAGATGTAAGTACAAGGATTTTTATCACATCATCACATCATTACTTATAAAGTAGAAAAAACTAGAACTAAAAAGATCTGAAAATAAAATTATTAAGTAAATCATGGTTTGTTCATATTAAGAATTTTATTCTGTTACTAAGATTTTCTAGCCAGGCACAGTGCTCCCGGCACTTTGGGAGGCCAAGGTAGGTGAATCGCCTGAGGTCAGGAAGTCGAGACCAGCCTGACCAACATGGCAAAACCCATCTCTACTAAAAATACAAAAATTAGCTGGGAATGGTGGTGCACACCTGTAATCCCAGCTACTGAGGAGGCTGAGGCATGAGAATCACTTGAACCCGGGAGGTGGAGGCTGCAGTGAGCCAAGATCCTGCCACTGCTTTCCAGCCTGGGTAACAGGAGATTCTGTCTCAAAAATAATAATAAAATAAAGATTTTCTCCTCTCAATAAGAATAAATACATAACTATGTACTCTAAGATTATTTTATGCTTAAGATATAATAAGGGGAAAAAGTTCCTTCAGCACCACCGGGAAATAATGAAAAAAAAAAAAAAAGAAAGAAAAGAGAAAAAGGAAACATAAATGGTGTAACCACACATTTATGGGAATGACAATTATATAAAATATATTTTTTGCCAGGTGTGGTGGCTCATACCTAGAATCCCATCACTCCGGAAGGCCAAAGCAGGAGGATTCCTTGAGGTCAGGAGTTCAAGACAAGCCTGAGCAACATAGCTAGACCCTGTCTCTATAAAAAAATTAAAAAATTATCTAGGCATGGTGATGGCTTGTAGTCCTAGCTGCTTGAGAAGCTGAGGCAGGCAGATTGCTTGAGCCCAGGAATTTGAGGTTACAGTGAGCTATGATTGTGCCGCTGCACTCCAGCCTGGGTAACAGAGCAAAACCCTATCTTACACACACACACACACACACACACACGGGGAGAGAGAGAGAGAGAGCATTTATTATATACCACTTACTGTGCTAGGGTGCTTTACGTCTTTTATTTCATTTAGTCTGCACTGAAATTCTACAAAAGAGGTATTACTGTGCCAGTTTTTGTTTTATTTTGAGACAGAGTCTCTCTCTGTTGCCCAGGCTAGAGTGCAGTGGCACAATCTCAATTCACTGTAGCCTTCACCTTCCGGGTTCAAGTGTGTCTCCTGTCACAGCCCCACCCCATACACCAACCCAGTAGTTGGTACCACTGGTGTGTGCCACTGCACCCGGCTAATTTATGTATATTTTGTAGAGATGAGGTTTTGCCATGTTAACCAGTCTGGTTTTGAACTCTTGG